ATGTTTTATTAATTAAAAATATGGGGCCCACCCTCTCTATCTCTCTCTCTCTCTCTCTCAACACACAGTGAATAGTCTAAATATACTTTCTGTTGAAACTTGAAAGTTTTGAACTCCCATGGCCCATGAGTTTAATGATTCAAATCACTCGAGCTTACTCGTTGTTGATCAATACATCATTAATCCGAATCCATTGAGTTTCGAGTCTGCTTTCACCGGCTCATGGGGCTCTTCTTCTTCCTGTCTGAACACCTCGTTCGGGTCAGAGCAGGATTCAAACGAGGCTGACAACGACGATGGAGACGAGTTCGTTGCTGAGTTGACTCGAAAAATGGCGGATTACATGCTTCAAGAAGATGACGATGATAATTCTTACGATAAGTACACATCTCCCGAAGGTTATGTTTCTCAGAAACCGATCTCCGAGTTTACTGGACAACCCTAATTTCTTACGTAATACGATTTATTTGCTTGTTTTGTAATCTGCTATGTAATCGTATCAGGTAAAGCATCCAAATCAAAACCTAGTTACAAGGCTTCTGATGATTTCTTGTTCAAGAATAAGGAATAAAGTCGATTCTTACCTATCAATCTGGAATCGTAACTAGATTTCTTCAACGTTCAACGTGTATGGATTCGAGAATCTGGAACAAAATCGATGTTGACCCATAAACTGGAACAAATTGATTTCGTCCCCTGATATGTCTTCAACTTCTCAATCGATTTCTTCTGTTGTTCTTGAAGAGCAAACCCAGAAATCTGCAACTCTTTCATCCCCAAATCAATAGTTTTAAAACCCTAGAAACAGCTATCAAATTCTATGAGGTGTCGATCACGCTGAAGGGAGAGATGCAGAAGTTTCAACAAGACTGAGGTTGCACCTATTTCCAGAATTTACAGAAGTCTAAACGTGAATCGACCCAAAATCAGGAAAAATGAAGAATTAAAGGGCGTTTATATCATTTGAACTCTGATAGTTAAAGAATTAGACGATCTAGGTTTGTCATCGGAGAGAGAGAGAGAGAGAGAGAGAGAGAGAGAGCCTTTATTATTTTTTTAATTGTTAAAATAAATAAATAAATATTAAATTTTAAAAAAAATGAAAGAAAAATGAAAATTATATACCCCAAGGGTATTATAGTCATTTCAATTTATGGAGGGACTATTTTCACATACAAACCACTCCAAAAGGACCATGAATCCAAAAAACTCGGAGTTTGGATTAAAACCCCAAAAATTTGCATACCACAGGGACCATTTTTGCAATTTTGTCAAAAAAAAAAATAAGAATTGTGTAAAGAAATGAGTGTAAAAATGTAGTATTTATAGGTAAAAAAAAAGTTGTTTAAAAAAATGTAGTTGTTCAACGGCTACTTCTTCTCCTCTTCTCCTATTCGTCGTTCTCCATCGTTCTCCCGAACACGAGACTCAACGACCACAAACGACCACGATAAGTAGTTGTGGTGTGCACGGACCACTATCGTGGCCATGTAGACCACGAACCGACTCGTGGCCGGTATACCTGTAGGTCTTAGTGGTGATGACATGACACTCACCAGTATAATGGTTAGTCATATTGAAATCACGACATGTTGGAGCCAGGTAGATATAAGTTAACAAATCCTATCATATCACAGTTGACGCTACAAAGAATTCAATATCAGTTTGTCTAGTTGAATTATATTGGTGTAATGAGAACCAAGGTTATCGATAGCGATAGCGAGGAAATAGCGACAACCCACCTATACGCTACGTAGCGATAGCGATGAAATAGCGACAGCTATTTCATGTTTTGTGATTTCTTATAAAATTTAACACTATATTTACTTGCACCTATGCAGCAATCAAAAATAACATAGAACTAACAAGTACAAGTTCTATTAAGCTAACATTAAGTTCCAAAAGATGTTTACCACAAAAGATTGGTTAGTTTTAGACTCTAAAGTCTAAAATTAAGTTATAATACCACAAAAGAATGGTTATTTTTAGACTCTAAAGTCTAAAACTATGTTGCAGTACCACAAATCGATTTTGGTGAGGTGTGCTATTGTCGCTACTATCGCAGAAGTGAGAAATAACCCGCCAAAATCGATTTTGGTGATTTTGGCGTCGATCGTACAATCTTAGTCGATTAGAGGGGAAGACATGAAATTGACTGTACGATTGCCCGCCTAAACCTATTCCGAGCCTAATTGCTACGTTTCTTACCGATTTAAACAAAAAAAAAAAATTTTGCCGGACATCGCTACACACACTATTGCCTCGCTACAGGCATCGTAGCGACCCATCACAGCTACACTACGCTATTCGCTATAGCGAGTGTAGCGGTCGCTATTAACAACCTTGATGAGAACCAAAAAACAAATTGTTTATTAATCTACTAGATATAATTACAAGATAAATGACCAGGCATGGAGAGTCTTTCCCTCTCAACCTCCTTGCCACATAGACATCACATCAGTTTTTTTCTCTTTTCTCTCTTCCATATTCCTCAACACACAACAAATACAATCTATCTTTTTGAACTTGGAAATAGAAGATTTTTTTTTTGGAAAGAAGAGATTCTCTTAGAACTAATTGAATGACTTATTGTATAATGATAAAACAGTTGTGTATCAAAAGATGATGCAAATTTTCCTTTCACAAAATGAGTCTTACAATAATAGAATTAGGACTTGGATGCAAATAGTAGTTCCTTTTAAATTACACAACAATTAAATTTACAAGATACAAACCCAAGCCAAGCCAGACATGAAGGAATAACACTACAGTCTCCTACAGCTACATCTGAATCTGAAGCTGAAGAATCAATCAATTGAATTTTAATCTTTTTTTTTTGTTGTTTCTTTAAAAATAAACCAAAAGAATGCCTAAGTTCATGGATGATTAAAATTCACCAATCAACCATATATAAATGGGGGGATAAATCATATTACCTGGTGACATTTTGCTCACCATAAATGTTTTCTTTTTTCTTTTTTTTTTTAGACATCGTATTTTTTTGGCTGTCTCCAGTGGGCCAGACCTCTTGATAAAGAGCCAAGAATGGAAATCTTGCTTTGGGCTCCTTTCCTTGCGTATAAACGTTTCGCTGCCAAATCTGAAAACTTCTTGCCTTTTTCCATTGTTCTTTCAATCTGAAATAATATTTAATATAGATTTTGAAACATTTTAAAAACAATACATACGTTTAGAGTAAATTACATTTTTGGTCCCTGAGTATAGTTGATTATTGCAATTTAGGTCCCAGTTAGTTTCCTCTTGCAATTTTAGTCCTTATTTGCGACATTGGTCCATGTCCCATGTGAAATGACTACTTTTGGTCCCTAACTATAGAATATTTTTGCAATGTTGGTCCCAAAAATAGTCATATTGCTTGGAGAAAACTTTTTCGGACCAAAATTAATGTTACAAAAACCTCAGCCAAGGACCAAAAACGTAACTTACTCTTATAAATTATAATTATATTATATCATTCCTTTTCAAATTTATTTTATAATCTGACCTTGTGTATTTTTCCATTTCTCAAATGGTATCGGATTCCAGACCAATTGATAGATTGAGAAAAATGTGAACGGATTGCAGAAATCGGGTATAAGAAGTTATCCACCACCATTGCAACAAACACCTGTGTGTGCGCATATATATATTTAATTAATTAAAAAAATTATAAAATTGTTTAAGTTTTACAAAACGAAAACTTACCAAGCACCAATTATAAGCACTGAGTGAAAGAGGAGGTGCCTCGGGTGACAACATGTTGCATAGTCTAACTTCTATTCTTGTTAAATTCCACATTGACAAAAGTTCAATTGCTGTGCATGTCACTAAGCATCCCACCAGAATCAACCCTAGTTAAAAAAAAAATTTAAAATCAAAAATAGAAAAATAGAAATGTTTGCTGAATGTTTTTTAAAGATAGTAAAAGGAAACATGAGGTTACCTTTAGGGTTGAGAGCAGATTCTTCAGCCACTTTTTCCTTCATGTAAAATCTTAAAGCAGCCATAACATGAAAGAATGCCATAACATATGGAGCTACAAATCCCCATGATAAGTAGCAGTGTACAGAAAATAATGCTCTGTTCATTATCCAATTTATATATGTTGTGTATGACTCCAACACAAATGTTTGTTTTCTCAAATAATTCCAGTACCTATTTTAAAAAATAAAAAATCAAATTTATTAAATTGAGGTTATTGTTTTTTAAATATTGAATTTCAATTTTTTCAAACCTTGAAAAAGTGAGATCGCTGGCAAGTGGATGAGGGAAAACAGCAACAGGAGGTGATGTGATAAGCCTTTTATGAGCACCTGTAAAAATAAATAGATAAATAATTAATTAATAGAATAATCAAATAAACAGATACATAATAATAGAAAAATAGAAAAATAGAAAAATAGGAAAATGTATTACTAGCTATGGCAGCGAGAGTCATGTCATCAGAGTATCCACCATCACTAAGCTGTGAGACAACACCATGTTTATCAGTTCTGAAATCGTCTGCATGCATCTGTAAAAATAAAATAGAAAAGGAAGAAAGTATAAATTGTTATTGTTATTAATAAATTAAAATTTAATTAAGGTGGTCAAAGGAAGGGTAAAAGTCAAAGATTCTTGCCATCATGCATCCTCCCCAAAGAAAGAATGTTCTTCCACCAGTTGCAAATCCCATTGAACATGGCTGTAAACAAAATGATGTTTAGTTAAATATGAATATGTATAACTAAATGTAATAAATAGCAATGTATTTGTGTATTATAGTTTCATTTTTATTTTCTTTTAAGGGATTGTAGTATGAAAGATCTGAATAATTATAAGATTATACATTTGAGGGATTTTTTCTTAGGGTTAATCTCAAAAAAGACCTTATATTTTGTGTTTTTTTCTGAATTAAACCTCGAATTTATTTTTTGCCTGAAAAAAAAACCCTTGTATTTTTTTGTTTTTCCCGATTTGGCCCTTTTAGTCATTTTTTGCCAAAAAAAAATGTAAAATGTGAGGGTTTTTTCGAGAAAAACTAAAAAAGTTAGGGGTTTATTTGGAATCATTTAGAAAGGTTGACGGTTTTTTTCAGAAAAAAATACAAAGTTGAGGGCTTTTTTTGAAAAAATAAAAAAATACAAGGTCTTTTCAGACAAAAAACAAATTTGAGGTTTAATCCGGAAAAAAACACAAAATATAAGGTTTTTTTTTAGATTAAAGAAAAAACATCATAAATGGTCCTTGTGCTTTCCAGAAATCAGGCATATAGTCCCTAAGTTTAAAAAACCTCACAGATGGTCCCTGTGGTTTCAGAACTTTTAATGTTTGGTCCTTATTGCTCACTCCTTTAAGTTTTGTCCGGTCACTGAAGGGCATTTTTGTCATTTCATTACCACAGGTATATTAAATAATTATATTTTATTTTGTTCTTTTTTTTTAAATAACTAAAAACTTCATAATTGGTCCCTGTGGTAGTGAAATGACGAAAATACCCTTCAGTTAACAGACAAAACTTAACAGAGTGAGCAATAAGGACCAAACATTAAAAGTTTTGAAATCACAGGGACCATCTGTGAGGTTTTTTAAACTTAGGGACTATACGCCAGATTTCTGGAAAGCACAGGGACCATTTATGATGCTTTTTCATAATTCTATTATAAATTGTACATCAAAACTTTCTGATTAAGGCATTGTGCTATGATGCTATAAATTATACAAAGCATGTCATTAAATTAGCCATTTGTAAACACAAATACAAAGCTTTATTGAGGCTTACCATGTGATATTCATAGATACAGTAACTTCCCAAACTTCCAGAAGGTAAATCAAGAGGGTAACCAGTTTGAATAAATATCTGCATAAAGTAATTAAATACAACAAGTTAAGAAAAACAAAGTTTTTGAAAACAAAAAATATAAAAATATCTAGTTATTATAAAAATTAAGTACCATCTATTATCAATGTGCATCAGCATGATTATTGATTATACCTCAGGTCTCTTTTCCATCTCTGCAGTGAGTGCTCCAATTGATCCAGGATGCA